AGTGAAGGACTTGGCAAGGGAATCCTAGTAAGTGGTGGTCAGGAAACAAAAAGGGCGGTTCTGGCAGACACAGCTAGAGCCAACAGTGGATACAGATATTTTTGAGAAGAAAAAATATTTCAATACTTTTGCGTGCTGTATTTTTTCAGTTTGTTGTCATGGATATAACTTAGAAAATTAATAACGTTTCATATATCGCTTCATTAATAGGTGAAATTCGGAAATCTAATAGTGATTTCTTCGAATTATATGAATTTTGCGGTATTTGAGTTTTGTGTGGTATTATTATTTTTTAATGCGAATATCAGCCATCTCGGAGCACGCTACTTGTTATTCTCCAATGCCTCATCATATTCATTCCGGAGAGATTTAACGTGCCTTACTCGGTATTAGGAACAGCCTTTTCGGCTTATCCATTGTTCAGACAAGATTGCTAGCCTATGAACTATGAGGTGATAGGATGATAATGAGTGGTAAAGGAACAATCACAAATACGTCCATGCCTACGAAGGATTCGAACCTGCAGCATCCTCAGTGCAGATGCGCAACCTACCGCAACAGCCTGCTTCACACAGGGGTCGACTTGATATTATTATTATTATTATTATTATTATTATTATTATTATTATTATTATTATTATTATTAGCATAAGGAGCCAGAGCAAAAAATGGTGGCCGCTGTGGGACTACGCGTCGCAAGGAAGGGTCGTAAAGTGGGGCACGGAATATTGCAGCTGGGGCGCGGGCGGGCGTGCGACTCGGGGGCGGGCCCAAGAGGCAGCTGCACGCCGGCGCGTAATTAGCGGCGATAAACAATGAAAGGCGCCGACGGGCAAGGGGCGGGGGCGGGGTGGGTTCCGCCTATTAGCTGGTGGGCGGAGGGGCGAGGCGCGAGGCGCGGCGGTGGCCGGGCCTGGCCAGGCGATCGAAGCGGCCGGAGGCGTGATTGCCTCCGGCAATGGGCCCGCCCGACCGCGCCTCCACGCCCTTCCGTCGCTCGCCCCCCTCCCACCGCTACGCCCCCCCAACTCTCGCTTCGATCTTCGCAACGTGCCTGTGCAGCGGCGTTTGCTTGACATTATTTTCTCGTGTTGCTTCCATGATTAGCCGTTTTTGGATGTACATATATTTATTTCATTCACGTTGTTGTGCGAGAATCTCTGTTATGTGTATTTAGTTCCCTTTCTTTTGAAATTAGTTTTCCTCCTAACCTTCCTTCTTATTTATGTTCCGTTTCATTGCATTCACCTATAATTCTGTGTCCGTCGTACTTCCCACGTGTTTTTATGTAAAGTTTTCTTACTTTTTTTTAGTTCTTCTAGTTTTCTAGAGATAGTTCATTATTTTATTATTACGAACGAGAAATCGTGGCATAATATGACCTTGTTCTTAATATTCACGATAAATATAAGTACAATTCAAATCTTGGTCTTGAATGTATGATTTTATACCAGATAAAAAAACAAACTTTCCGATGTGTATCATCTCCGATTTCTATCCCTCGAGTTCAATAATATTCATCCTCTCTAAAATATTTGAAAAATCTTATGCTGTATGAACATAGGGTACGTAATCGAATTAAGTACTTCATAATACTTATACATCTTCTTAAATACTTACGTAAATATGTCCTAGTGCATTTTCTATCGGCTTAGTACCCATGTTTTGCTAGATCAGTTGGCACCTTCCTCGTCCTCGCAAGAGAATATCCGATCGGCTTTGCTCACCCGCTCGTCTGCCTCTACATGCGTTCTCGCCCTCCCCTTCATTTCTCTTCCTCTCCCCTGCGCCTCCTCACCACTCCCCCACTTGTTTACTCACGAACCATTCGCGCTGAGAAGTTATGCACACAGCTCTCGAGGCTCCCCGCGCTGGAGATGAACTTTCGGGATTAGCCCGGAGATTCCTATTGGGCGGAGGGCACGCTCTCCTCACGGGGTTTTTTGCGGCGGGAACATCAGTAGTGGGAGCTTAGCGTTGACTGCAGTCGCTAGAGTCCCTAGATACAGAGAGTACAGTATTCTTTTGCGCCTCCGAATCCATCATTTAAATTTGGTTGAACTGTACGGTATTCAGTGAGTTGGGAACAACCGATCTACCCAAACTGAGCAAAGTGGCTCAGGACGTCGCGCGCTAACTCCGCATTTCGGTAGACCGGGTTTAATTCCCGTGCCGACCATGCTGACCGGGGATTTTATGATGTCCCTCGGTCATCCTGACAAATGCTGTAAAGTTTATACTGAAAGGCCATCACTGCAAAACCGGCGTCGCTAGCCCAATTCGTTAACTACGTGAAGTCACGAAGGTTAAGTGAATTTGAGACGTCGTGGGTTCCTCCTCGAGTGGCCGACTAGAAAGCGCAGTATCTAATGGCGCCAAAGCCGATTTCCCTTTACGGGACTTATAATAGCTAAATACAAACAAAAAATCTACCCAAAACCAACATTAATACATTCAAAACTCCCCAAAATGTCTTTGATTTTATCATTTATTCTTAATTCCTGAATGCTGCCTGTCGGAACTATCGGGTGAAAGGATATCAAAATGGTGACTGGCGTTCAGGATCTAGGGTCTCTTGTCGTCGCTGTGTGTTTTATCTGACCAACTTTTCGTTCGGGGCCACGCGAGGTGCGCAAGACGCCCTCCGCCGGAGAAAAGTGGTCGCAGCCTTTGAACTCTCGTTAAGATTGCAGATCGCGAACAGATGAAATCGTGTTCGTAGAGCTTTGAGGAAAACACTTAGCGGTCGGACGTTACGGCGAGGTTTTTGCAGCTGACAGCGACCTGCCCACTTTCTTGTGCTCTGGACTGCGTTTAGAAGAGAAGGGTTGAATTGCAATCGGTCGCAGAACATGCACGCATTATCTTTGTGAAGTGCTACTAGTGAAAAGGTTTTGGTTAGGAAAACAATATTGTTGTACAAGGATGAAATTAGCTTTGTATCGTCTCTCAGCCGTATTATTTCCTTTTTATGTGATTTATCAAGCTCGGTTGAAGCAAGAAGCTGTTCGAGAAGTCTTCGTGAGGTGTCTCGTGTACAAAAATAATTAATCAAGGTATATAATACCTTTATTCTAGTAATACTTGACACATTTACCTACGGAGATATCATCGCCAACAGTCCTACAACTTCATAATATTACGTAACCTTTCTCTTCCTTCTTATTATCTTGTATTATGTATACTGATAAATCTATACTTTCCTTTTAATTCAAAGTAATACTTTCTCCTTAATTCAAAAAAAATGTTTATTTGTTGAGATATTAGCCGAAACACTGGGTCTGAACCAAGAACTAGGGGTGTAACTGAAAATTTCATGAATGGCGAAACAGAAATCAATGATGTCATTCCATTATTTAACATACTAATGTCTCAAAAGAAGTTTGTTTTTATACACAGTTTATTTACTTCGTATTCCTTTCTTTAAAGTATCACTTAAAATATTTGTGAGTTAACTTTAATATTTTTTAAAATTATTTATTTACATTTTTCCAAATTTTTCTTTAAATCGTGATTTGAAAACGGTCTAAGAGTTCTTTTTTAATGTAATACAGGCATTAGCTTCCACTATTTTCTACTCTCTTTTTTCAGGGGCTTTTCTCTGCTTCAGTTGATGCCGATTTCGGCTACACGAGCTGGGTACCCACTATGTCCCTCCTAGGGACACATTTACTCTACACCTTTTTACACTAGTAAGTGACATGCTTGCAGGCTTCTCGGTCTGTGGCCAGAAGACTCGTAAGCCCTTCCGCTGCAACACATCCATGAAACACTAACAACCATGCCCTCGGCGGGACTCGAAGTCACGATCCTTCCGAGCGGGTCGCTGACTCGGCACACGCGGTGCTCGCCTCGCCCCTCTACATCGGTCACTATTTTCCACTCTTTACCGACACTATTTTCATGAACATCTTTTTATTCTTTTTTGAAATCTAAAGGAAATGTATTTTTCAATAAATAGTTTGATAATTGCCGACGAAACTTATTGTACGAGTTATCAATGACGGTGTGGCAGCAATTCTCGTGGAAACGATTATTAATATAAGCTAACCAAATAATGTACAAGGTAGAAATTATATATTTATGATTAGACAATTTTTTTTTTTTTTTTTTTTTTGCATTTGTTGATTCAAGAAACGATTGGAGCGTTCGCTTCACCCTTTGAGTTCATCGAAAATAATTTCCAATTCCAAAATGTTAGTTGTTACTCTGTTAAAACTATTAGACACGTTTAATACGATGCATTTATAATTTTGTAACAAAACTATACGATGTCCCTACAAGTATTTCGCGCTTCATACAGTGAAGCCCTGCACCGTGCCTTCACGCATACCCGGTTGCGTGGTAAATTCTCTCAATTGTTTAACTACTCTAGGGTTTCACGGCGGACGTTTTATTGTAAACCTATTTTTCGGAATCAACGCCCTACAAAACGTGAATTCTGATTACACAACGTGCTAGGGGACGTAATTTACTACAAATAAGAATAATAATTATCCACATTTTCGATATCAGGCGCCCAAAAGGGATTTTTTCGTGAAAAATTGTCGATTTTAGCTGGAGCATTTCCGTACAAGGAAAATAGTATACGAGAAAGTAAAAAGACGGGATAAAACTATATTCAACGTACTAAACCATAGACTTTAGCATTATTGTTCTGAGAAAGAACTTTACCCTCTTACCTATAAAAGTTTCCAAAAATATGTAGCTTTGCCTAATTATCACATATATTTTTGTGCAAATAATATGTATTGTTATGTGTTAATGTATTGTATACAATTGTAGAGTGAAATATATTCCATGAATTACTCATTATTCAAGAACAGGTTACATGTTTGCCTCTATCTGCTTGAAAGGTCTCTTCCTTATACCACAAGTTTTCTTCATAGCGACCCTAATCCTTAGATCCAATTTTTCCAGTAGTGTTTCCCGCCCCGTCCCGCCCGAGTCGTCTTCTGATCCGTGTGTGACTGTACGCGTGTGTTATTTGGTGCCTGCAGGAAATCAGCGGCTCCTTCCGGCTGCTGTCGCAGAGCGCGGGTCGCACGCAGCACGCGCCCGCTACCCCTGCTGCGGCTTCCTCGGCCGCCGCCGCCCCCTC